GCTTCCATGTTGACATCTTTGCTGGCTCTGATCTTCCTGCCTCCTTCTTACAACAATCTTTGTGATTACATTAGGTCCACTCAGATAATTCAGAATCGTCTCCACAGCTCAAGATTCTTTACTTGATCACAACGGCAAAGGCCCCTTTACCATAATGCTTAACATGTTCACTGGTTCTAGAGATTAGGATGTAGACATCTTTGGGTTCTTTATTCTGTCTAGTACAACATGTAAAAATCATCAGTGTCTTTCCTTCTTCTGGAACTAGCTATGTAGTTAAATATTCGTAAATAATGCCATGTCTTAGATGACTGTCTGTTCCTCCGGGAGAGACATCTAAAAGGCGGAATAATATTAAAAATTAAAGCTGTGTCATACTTCACATGACAGGCATTTGAATTGCATTAGTTTCTATTATAAATTTAAAATTCAATTTCTAATGAGCTCAACAGCACTAAACTTTAGAAAGTTGAGCGTTATCTCTTCTTTATACTTACGGACCAATGGCAAAGATTTTGATATTTGGAAAACCTGAATATTTCTTTGCCTGATGGTTGATTGGTTGACTGAGTACACCAATTCTGTGATCGCTCATTTTTTTTTTCCATTTTACATAAATTTCCTGCACACGAGAATTTTCTCCTCTTTCTCGTTTCCACTATTAAAACCTTCCCATCACGGAAGCTTCAGATGAAAAGTTACTTTCAAAAATCATCTTTTTTTCATTGTTTAGATAATATTGATTATGTGTCTGATATGTGCTATGAACATGCCAAGTTCTGGGAATAATCAGATACAGGGCAAGCTCACTGTGATGGACACATCCAAGCTAAAGGGAAGATGATAAGAACAGCATCCCTGAAACACAGAAGAGTAAGTGCAAACGCCATGAGACAGAATTGAGCTTGGCTTGTTTAAGGAATGGAAATAAAACCAGAATCAATAAAGAGCGTTAGGTGGAAGGAGATATGGCCACTCTTGTCTTCTCTAGACTGACAGTTTTCGGTCTGTGCCCTTGCCTGAAATGTACCCCAGGTATTTGTGCAGGCCCCTGAACCTCCTTTATTAGAACCTTTGATTGCATGTATCTCATTCAATACTTATAATAATCACCCAGAAACTGCTTATTCGAATATGACTACTCCATTGAAATGAGAAGTATATTACGCCAATATTTAGTAATCAGCTTACAGGAAATTCTAGATGATCCTCAGGAAACCAAGGTAGGTAAATGTGTATAATGAAATCTGAGTCCTGAAGTGTATCAGTTTATATATTATAGGTACACCAGAATCCCTGGTGCTTTATACTGTAATAACAAATATTCTCTCCCCAAATTCCAATAGGTTAAAGCAAATTTTAAAAAGTGTTTTCATTTTGTTTTGTTTCCTTTTACTGCCTTATGTTCACTGTTGGCAATACAGAGTGCCTCTGCTCCACGAAGTCACTCAGGGACATAGTGTGATGGGGCAGTCACTGTCTTCAACATGTGAAAAGAAAAAAAAAAAAGACATCTATGCATGTTTAATAATTGTTCAATAGTAGTATTTTAAAATATTATTGGATAGAGCATAGACTGGGGAGGTGTGAGGAGGGAAGGCAGAAGGGAATGGTGCTTATCAGACCCACTCCCTGAGTCCTAACATCAGCCAGGCTGCTATAGCTGTGTTTATTCAGTTGACGGAATTCCAGTCCAGGGCCTTCATTTGCCTCTGCAGCTGAGAGCTCACTATTCTCAGCTAAGAGGAATGATGAGGCAGGAGAAAGAGAGCTGGAATTTAAGAGCTTTTAAAGAAGACAGAGAGCAAGAGTTGGAGTCACATTTTCGGGGCAAATTTTTATTTATATTCCCTGGTTAGAGGAGTGGAGGGTGAAGCAGTCTCTGATTCATCAGCCAGAAATAATAAGACATGTTACCGCTCTCATTCGACTCAGAAGTTCAACACAACCCAGCCAGAGCTGAATTTATGACTGTTTCTCAAAGCCAGGTTTATGCCAGCCAAGTGAAATGAAGACCTGGGCAATTATGAACACAGTTCATTTCCAGAAACAAAATAATTCTATGAAGTTGATGCAGTCCGGCACATCAGAACCAACAATTATTTTGTTTGTTTGTTTTGTTTTGTTTTTTGTTTTTTGTTTTGGTCTTGGCATGACCAGTTTTCCCAAGGGTCTTCTCCCTCTGTGTAATTGCAGCTGTCTGAGAAAACCAGTGGGCTGCCTGCAGAGTCTGGCCCCTGAATCTTCAGCCCTAAAAGCTGGGAGAAGCTCGCTGTAGCTGGGGAGAGCTCTTCAAATTGACTTCCAACCCCTTTAGGCTGGGTTCATGTTTCTCTAGAATGTCCAGGCTTGGTGGGGGTTGGGGGGGGGAGAATGATGGATTTATAATTGTTCCGGATTGTTCCCTATTGTTCGTTTTGTTTGATCTTTGTTTATTTGTTTTAATGTACTGGGGCTCAGGACATCCTCTGGAGTACACTGGTAAGCAAGAATGCTGGTGACAAATAGGAAACTCTGGCTTCCTCTCTGATGTTGGAGGAGTCAGTGAGGATGGAAGCAGGACCGGCCTGGGCCCTGTGGGCAGGATGGGGAGAGGTGGGGGAATACCAGGCACTGCTGGCTTGGAGAAGTGGTTGCGGCTGAATTCTGAGGTTTTCCTTGTGATGCTTCTGGTTTCCCAAGAGTTGGCTTTTGATCTGCAGCTTTCTGGAAAGAGGATCGGAATCCTGCCCTCAGGAGGCCCAGACCTTCCAGGGCCTATGAGACTCCGGCATTGGTAACCTGGAGGTGCCGCTGGAAGGACAGAAAAGACAGCGCTTTAAAAATCAGAGGGAAGGCCGGGTGCGGTGGCTCACGCCTGTAATAGTAGCACTTTGGGAGGCCGAGGCGGGCGGATCATGAGGTCAGGAGATCAAGACCGGCTTGGCCAACATGGTGAATTATTCCCGTTCCTACTAAAAATAAAACAAATTAGTCGAGCGGGGCTCTTCACCTGTGCTCCCAGCAATCAAGACCTGAGCAGACTGTGCCCTGTAAGTTGGGGGTTGGAGAGTGCTGGGCTTCCGCCCCGCAGGGCCTCAGGATGGTGAAGGAGCCAGCTCTGTCTCTGCTTCCCGGGGGTCTGGTTGGAATCCCCCAGGGCTTCGACGCCCGCCCGCTCAGCGCCAGGAAAGCGGGTGGCCACGGAGAAGTTTTTCAACTGGAGGAGCGGATCCGTCCGGAGACGTCGCCTCTTCCAGCACCGCCACCCGGGCCCTGTCTCGCGCTCCACACGCGCAGTCTTGGCTCCCAGGCGGGCTCGGGGCTTTTTCTACCTGCGGGGCGCTGGGTCGGCTCCGGGGACTGCGCGCAGCGGGCGCTGGTAGAGCCGGCAGTTGGCACCAAGGGCCCGGGAGCGGGAGGAGGGGGGCGGAGGAGCTCCAGGGAGCTGGGGCGGGGCGCGCGGCGGCTGCGGGTTGGGTGGGGGGTGCCGAGGGGCTGGGCCCGGGCAGAGTCTGGAGGAGCCGCGGGCGGATCGGCCGCACCTGCCGCAGACGCTGTCGGGGAAACGTCGCAGCCCCAGCGCGAGCAGCGGCTCCGGGTGACCTCGCGGGGATGCGGAGCGGACGTCCCAGGAGCACCGGATCCCGCCGACTCGATGGTTCGGGGCCACCGCGCGTGCGGGCGGCCGGCGGGGTCCGCGGGTGAGCGGCGGGTGGGTCTCAGGACGCCGGGTGCTGGGTTCGCCGCCCGGCAAAGGTGAGGCGGGAGCGGCGTCTGCGGCGCCGGCGCTCGGCTTTTGGGAAGCTCCCCCACCGCGCCCGCCTACTGCGGTCTCCGGGTGCGCCCAGGCGGAGGGAGCTGACGCTGGAGTCTGGGGGTCTGGAGGAGGCGCAGGCACCTGGAGCCACCGGGACGCGGTCCACCGCTCCGACGGGCGGGTCCTGCTGGGAGGCGTGGCGCCTTTGGGGCCTGTTGCGCTCTCCAGCTTCCCCAAGGTATTGCCTGAGAGTGGGTAAGAGAAACGTTCTGGGGATTGTCCCCAAACCCTGGGTCCCACGGTGTCCCGCTTCCTATCCCCAGGTCAGCTAAACTGTGATACTAGAACGAGGGGGAGCCCGGCCCCTGGTTCATTTTGGCCCCAACCGATGGGTCCCTACACTGCCCCAGCTTAGATCACCTGTGCGCATAGAAGATGGCAGGAACCTCTGCGCGGCTTCCTGCAGCCTCTCCCCACCTGACGCGGGTGCCCGTCAGGGTCTCAGAGCGCGGAATCGCATCCTCTTCTCCTGGAACCCTTTCCACCTGAAGCTCTTCAAGACGGGCCGTGAATGCATGGGATGCGACGTTGCTGAGAGAAACAGAAAAGTTGCTTTTGCTTTTCCACGTGCCTCATGCACAGCCTCGAGTTCCCTGGAAACCCGTAGCCTTTGAAGCTGAGGGCTCCCAACGAGACCCAGGTTTTCACAAACAGGAACTCTGTGGTTTAGCAAGAGTGCCCTATTTCTCCCTGGAGCTCCAGATATACAAACATGATTTGAGAGGGGGGAATTGGTAGGGGTCAGGAAATTTTTTTCCTGTAATTTTGTTGTTGTTGTTGTTGTTTGAGGCAAAGTCTCACTCTGTCACCCAGGCTGGAGTGCAGTGACGAAATTTCGGCTCACTGAAACCTTCGACTCCTGGATTCAATCGATTCTCCCACCTCAGCCTCCTGAGTAGCGGGAACTACAGGTGCTTGCCACCACGTCAGGCTAATTTTTTTGTATTTTCAGCAGGGATAAGGTTTCATCAAGCTGGCCAGGCTGGTCTCGAGCTCCTGACCTCAAGTGATTCGCTTACCTCAACCTCCCAAAGTGCTGGGATTACAGGCCTGAGCCACCACAGCCAACCTGTTTTCTGTCATTTTCTTGTTTTTTGAGATGGAGTCTTGCCCTCTTGTCCAGGCTGGAGTACAGTGGGATGATCTCAGCTCACTGCAACCCCCACCTCCCCGTTTCAAGTAATGCTTGTGCCTCAGCCTCCTGAGTATCTGGGATGACAGGCTTGAACCCCCGCACCTGGCCTCTTTTCTGTAATTTTTAAAAAGGTAAAATGCATCTTTAGGAGCAAGGTTCAGACTGAAACTTGGTCAGTGAATGTGAATGTGAATGAGGCTGTTTTGAGTGAGTTGCTCTGAAGGCTTCCTTGAAAAGGCTGACTTTGGAGCAGAGGCGTGAATGAAGAGAGGAAGGAGAGCTGTGAACACTTAGGAGAAGGTGTCCAGATAGGAGAAGGTGAGTGAAACCACAATAAGCTTGGCGTGGTGGAGAAACAGCAAGACGGCCAGGTGGCTGAGCAGAGAGAGAGCAGTTGGAGGGAAGTGATCAGGGCAGATCCATGTGGACCCTGATAGGATATGCGTGGCTGAAGCTGACGTTACCCCTACTTCTGTATCCCTTTTCCCTCTCTTCATCACCATAGAAATCTTCGTTTTTAGCTCGACAGAATAATGACTGTATTTTCCAGCTCTTTTTTTCTCTCATAAGGCAGGTATTCATGTGATTAACCCTTGATACGGCTGAGAGAGTGGTGCCTGAAATTTCCTTGAAATGTATTATTTTTTTTCTTTTTTTAACTTTTTCGATTCAGGAGGTACACGCGCAGGTTTGTTCTATGGGTTTACTGTGTGATGCTGAGGTTTGGGATATGACTGGCCCATCCCTCTGGTGATGAGCACAGCACCCAATAGACAGTTTTTCCATCCTTGTTCCCTTCCCACCCTCCCCAGTGACTGGTGTTCCCATCTTTATATCCGTGTGCACCCTATGCTTAGCTCCCACTTACAAGTGAGACCATGGAGCGTTTGGTCCGCAACGTTCTTAATGCATAGAAACATGACCCTCCTACATCCTGGTGGCTAGAATGTGGTTGTTGTGGCTGGATTACCAGCATCTATTTGGGGCCACGCCATGAGCTTAGGAATGGAAGTTTGGCAAAGTGAAGCAACAGAAGAAGAAGATCTGGGTCTCCGGGGCTAGTCTTGAGCTGACTGCCTCCAGGCTGCAGTGGCATGAGAGAGATGAAACTCCTCGCTTGTTTAAGACACTGCATTTTGGAGCCTTCTGTGAGTCACAGCTCAGTCTAATCATGTTTGATATATCAAGGTGAGAACTTCAAATTTTATTCTCATCCTAAGGAAATATTTGGAGGATTTTATGCCAGGGAGGGACATAAGGTGTTCACCAAAGGCTCACTGTGGCCTCCAGGAGAGACCAGGCACCAAAGCCCAAGAGTGGAAGTAGGTCAATTGGTTGAGGGCTCTTGCAGTTATCCAGGTAGAAGGTAACAGTTGGATTAGACTTTGGCGGAAGTGCTGTAGATGGTGATAAGTGGTCCTATTAGGAGTGCATTTACATACTCTTGTGTTTTTGGTTTATCAAATGTATGTCTTTTTAATCTGGGAATATCATTTACATGCATTAAAACACAACCATTTTCAGTGCACAGTTAATACATTTTGGCAACTACATACACTTGTTCAAACACCATCACAATCAACACACAGAATACTCCATTAATCCTGAAAGTTTCCTCATTCCCTTTCAAAGTCAATACTGCCACAGACTCTAGACCCAGCAAGCACCAATTTGCTTTCTGTCACTAAAAATTAGATCTGTCTTTTCTAGATTATCATGTGAGTAGATTCATACAGCATACTGTTTCTAGCTTCTTTCACTTCACAGGTGTTTATGAGATTCGCCCATGTTGTTGTTTGACTCAGTGACTCACTCTGTTTTTATTGCAGAGTAGTGTTTTGTTGCTGGGAGTTGATTTACCGCCAAGTGTTGACCTTTTCATGTGTTCATGCACATTCGTGTTGTTTCTAGGCTTTGCTGTTATGAACAAGGCTACTACAAGCATTCATGGACAAACCTTTGTGTGGTCATATGCTCTAATGTATCTCTGGCAAATGCTAAGAGCAGAATAATTGGGCAACATTGTAAGTGTAAATTTAAGCATATAAGAAACTGTCAACCTTCCCCCAACTGATGTATTAGGTTGGTGCAAAAGCAATTGGGGTTTTTGCCATAAAAGGAAAGGTGAATTGACTTTTGCACCAACCTCATAATTCCCAGTTGCTCTTTACTCTCGCCAAATCTTTGCATTGCCGGTTTTAAAATGTCTGTCCCTTACTTGCAGAGCCCTGATTTTCTTCCTGCTGCTAATGTGCCCAGCCGAAAAGGAAATAAACCGACAAACATGGAACGCTGTATCTACCAGCAGTGCAACCACCTGACAAGGTCTGTCCAACGAGAGGCCAGTGGAAGCTTCTGGGCAGGACTTCTGGGAATTCCCATAAACTGGGCTCAGTTTATGCTCTCCAAGATGGTGGCCCAGGAAACTTTATACCTGGGGGAATCCCCATCTCCACTCTAGGGCTTGTGAGCAAACCTGGCTCTCAGCTGGTCTTCTCATTCCGGTGGATTGCGGCCCTGTATGGACAACTCAGGAGGCTGCTGGCTCCTTGATCTCCTCACCTTGTTGCGTTTGCATAGTGCTTCCACCTTAGCACAAGGTTCCATTCCTGGCAGCCTCATCTGAAAGTCTGGGAAATCATACTTTTGGGGGATGTGGCTAACCTTGCCCAGAGCCTTTCTGTATTTGGGTTTTGGTGGATCCTGGGTCTGCAGCCAAAGAAATGCAAGGCCTGAGTAGGGCAGACATTTGAGTTCCTTGACTGGTTTACCCAAGGATGGGGCAGGGAACATGAGAATTTAAATGAGAGAAGTGTGGGTCTTGGGTCAGTGCTGTTCATAGAAAGCAAACCCTGAATGAGAGAGGAGGAAGTAAGAGGCCATTTAAATACACTGCACATTCCATCATTCAGACAGACAACAGCTTCAGCTCATGCCTAACCTGGCAAATTGCCATCAGAGATAATCATCAGTGGATCTTGTAGCATCATTCACTGGCAGTTCCCAGAAGGGAGATGACATTTCAAACCCAATGGAGTTCAAAATTTCTGCTGCTCATTCATGAACTGCTTGTGGCCCAACTCGGTTTCCCAGAGTCCCGTTAGTAATTCTGCCTTTGTCTTTTTCTTTCCTTTTACTTTTGCATTAGAACACCAAGGGCTCGCCATCAGTAAAAAGAGACTCTTCCCATCAAGACCTTATCTACCTGGGACCTGCCATGTGAGAAATCCAGAAACCTCCTTTTTCCATAAGGAAGCCATCAGGAGCTAAATTATTCTTTACATACTAAAAGAATGAGCTAAGTGGTTTTCAATATTACATGTTAACTGTAGACTTTTATCATGGAAAATGTTGTGCCTCTGGACTTACGGCGACCTCAAAATATTTAGGACCAACCATTTATTTTGCTTGTAAATGGAGCCTAAAAGCCTACATTTTTCAGGTGAGAAAATCTACCTAAGCTGACCCAAAGTGCAGTTTTATTTTATCTTATGGAAGGAATTATCACAGCACTGTGGAAAAAAAATCACCATGCTCTTAGCAGACCCCTGAGAGGTGAAATGCAGCTGCTGGCTTCAGAGGATCTTGCCTTGTATGCCTCAGAGCTGGAGCTTCTGGGACGGGCGTGGTGGCTCACACCTGTATTCCCAGCACTTTGGGAGACCCAAGCAGGTGGATCACTTGAGGTCAGGAGTTTGAGACCAGTCTGGGCAACATGGTGAAACCCCCTCTCTACTAAAAATACAGAAATTAGCAGGGCATGGTGGCACGTGTCTGTAGTGCCAGCTACTTGGGAGGCTGAGACACTTGGAGATTCACTTGAGTCTGTGGAGGTTGCAGCGAGCCAATACCATGCCACTGCACTCCAGCCTGGGTGACAGAGCTAAACTCTGACTCAAAAACAACAACAACAACAAAAGATAGAACGAGACTCTGACAAAAAAAAAAAAAACAAAACTGTGACTATAACAAAAGAACTAGAGTTTCTGTTCAGATAGTTCATTTCCTGATGGGGTTGCTGAGAGGAGAGTCACTGGACCAGTCAGGAGGGACTCACAAAGGACTCTATTACCCTATTCAGCAAGAGAGTGAGAAAATAGAGAACAGCCTGGATGAATGGGGTGCTACTGGCTTTTAATGGGCTCACAAAAATTGTTAGCTTAGTGACTTCTGGTTGGATAGAGTGTTGCCATCTGGCAGCCTTCAAGCCAGTCAAACGAGGAGGTATTATCAATACTGCTGTGACCTCGCCTACAGTTCTGTCATTTTTTCCTCATCCTGAGTTACTTACCTGCACAGTCAACTACAGGTCTGAGAGCATGAGGTGGGCAAGACCCTGCTTGGTGTCTTGGAGATGTGTATTTAAGAAGAGACAATGCATTTCCAACCTCAGGGAGCCAGTCATGTGGATGGACATATATACTAGGAAGTCTGTCTAAATTCTGTACTAGTGAAAAAGAGTTGGCTAGCAATTGAACCAAAAAAAAAAAAAAAAGATGAAAGCAACATAACGTATTAGTTTCCCATTGTTGCTATAACACATAACTACAAACTTCCTGCTTTAAAACAATGTAAGTTTATTCTTTATAATTCTGGAGGTCAGAAGTGTGAAATTCATCTCACAAGGTTAAGACCAAGATATTGGCAAGACTGGTTTCTTTTGGAGGTTTTAGGGTATATTTCCTTTTCTTGCCTTGTCCAGCTTCTAGAGTTGACTTTTCCTTTTTTAATTGCGTTAGTCATGGTCTGTTTAAAGCCAGCACCCTCAGGTCTTCACATCTCTCTCCACTATGGTTGTCACATTCCCTGTGACAATGACCTGCTCTCCTGTTATATAGACCCCTGTAATTATATATAAATCTACAGAGATTTTCTGCCTCTCATTTTTTATAGAAAGCAATTACTGCCTCTCAGATTTGGGTAAAATTCAGAACCAGCTGCTTTAATAAGGTCATAAAGAAAGAAAGATAAATCAATGACTTCAGCCTCTCAGGACAAACAGGACAGTGGACAGGATCTCTTGCAGGTAAAGGGAGGCAGAAGAGCGTTAGTTCATTGAATGGACTTTGTTTAAAATCAGGTGGTTTAAATCCTTGCCCCATGGCTTACTAAACTTGTTTGTGCTTTAAACAAGTGACTTGGCTCCTTTTACCTCAGTCTCCTTTTCTGTAAAATGGTATCTACTTTGCAAGATTCTTTAAGGATGAAATGAATTAATAAATGCAAAATGTGTCAATAATGCCTAGCATATAATAAATAATTCTTAGTTATTGCAATGACATTTCACTTACTGGATTCTGCTGCTGATACATCCATGATAATCTCCAGACAATATTGATCTCTTCTTTTCTCTGAACTCCAGCAATGTGTAAAACTTTAATCAAACAGTTTAATTCAGATTTTCTTTTATTGTTTGATAGTTTATATTTCATCAACACATACATATATTTCCAACAATAATTTTTTCTTTTCCCAAATCATAAGTCCCTCCAGGACATAGGTATGTTTGCCTTTCACTTCTGCTGTTGATGCTGTTCTTTCTCAGCCTTGACTTTTGATTGCCTTGATAAGTTAATTCACTTGGAGACCTACACTTCAGTCTGTGCTTTACAAAACTAATGAAGAAAGGGGTTGATCAAGCAATTTAGTCATGTGAGCATAAATGCCAAAGGGTTGTTCATGGTGCTTGAAATTGTGCTGTTTGGGCATTTGAGGAATACCCATTCACATGCATACCATTGATATGACCATTATAACATACTTTCAATGAATCATTAAAACATGTTCTCTCCCGGAAGGTGAAGGTTGCAGTGAGCCAAGATCATACCACGGTACTCCAGCCTGGGTAATAGAAAGAGACTCTTTCAAAACAAAACAAAACAAATCACAACAAAAAACCATGTTCTCTAAAAATATGTCACATCACCAGGCAACATGTGTTCTACCTACCTTTAGCTACTTTATGTCCTTGAAAACAATGGACTGCATTGGGAAAAAGCTGCACAATATTTCATACATGAGGTTGACCCCTCAAGTTAGGATTACTGGTGTATTACCACTTACAGAGGAAGAAAGATCAGGTCAGGGGCTACAACCTCACCCTGGTCCTGTTCAAGTGAACTATAAGGAATCTACATCTATTTCCCAGCTCCATTTTTTTTCAGTGTTGGTCATATCTAAGGCAGACTCTCCCCAGTATGATGAGAGAGATTGAACAGGATATAAATGATGGAAGTGGGCTGGGCCAGGGAGGAGATGGACAGCAGGGAATGGTGGGAACTGTGGGGAACCTTAGAACGCAGGCACCAGCCAAAGACAACACACAGATCCAGCTAGATGTCTGGGTGGACATGCGTGCCAACTAAGTTGAAGAAGCTGGGGCAGGGGCAGGGGCAGTGCCATATTCCTGGTTGGGTAACTTATGGATACTTCCTACAATATCCCTGTCTTACTGATAACATTGATGAAGACTCAGTATCTAAAGTAAACGTATTCGACATTCAACGTGTGACCAAAAAGCAGGTCAGTTGCTTGCCGCAGGCAGAGTACAATTAACCAGAGTGAGGTCTGGTATAAGAAAAGTAAATTTATTCTCAATCTAGCTTGGGGGAAGGGGCACAAAGCATCTTTAAGGATGAAGTGAATTAATAAATGTGCTGCTTCCCTTTTGGAGCAGAAAGCAAACACTTCCATCAGGCAGCGGGGGTAAGTCAGCAAGGGACGGGTTCCTCTGGCTAGCTTGGTGCTGTATCTACCCGACGGTTGAGTTGGCACCTTCCTGGACAGGAGTAAGATGTAAAAATGGTCAAGCAGGCATGCTTTTGATATACCCTCCTGCAGGCTGGAGTTTCTGAGGCAACCCCAGAAGTGAATATTCCATAGCAGGCATGATTTGGTCTGTAAATCGACTGTTCGCTCTTCAGGAGTTAGATGATCTTGCCTTCTAAGAAGTGTTTGGTGAAGGAGGAGGTAAAAGGTTTCATTTTCATTTCTAAAGGGCTAAATAGGAAGTGGGAAGCAGCAAGTAAAAAAAGGGAAAAAGAGAAAATAATTTAAAAATATAATTAGTATTACTTAGGAAAATGGGGGTACTGGATTGCAACCGGACATTGATTTGTTGTGAGTACTGAGCATAAGTTCTCCATCTTATAATTTGAAAACATACAGTTGAATTCCAACAGTAAGTTTTTTCTCTGAGGCACTTGCCTTTGTATCTGTACCATCCTAGGTATACTCTTGATGTCTCTTTTCCAACATCAGCAGGTTTATCAGGTTAGAGTGGGATTGCCATTGAATAACTATATTTTTAGATACATTTTGTTGCTTTGAGCAATGTGTTGAGTAGGCATTTATGTTGATTTTGATCTCTCCATCCAACATTTCTTCCTCTCTTGTCACAAAAATACTCTGATGAGTGCTTTGTGGGATCCTCTCCTCGCCCAGCCTGTGCATCGGGTAAAACAGATATACTTCAGGAGCCCAGAGTGGGTCACATGACCATGGCAGGGCTAATCAGCAAATTCTATTCTCCTAATTAAAGTGATTGGTTTAAATATGAGCACATGACCCATCTGCTACAAGGAGATTCACAAAATTATCCTTTGGGTACTTCTTGGAAATGAGTATTTACTAGTTCTTGCTGGACTTGAAGGAAATCAAACCTGAAATCGAAGGATATTTTTCTTCCTATGAAAAGGAGATTCAGTAAGGATCTGGCACTATCAAAATCAAAGTTGAGAGTTGAGCAAACATGTTTAAATGGCATCTTCTGAACTTTGATTTTCAGCTGTGTTTGGAAGCCACTCTATCCGTAGACATTCCACTTACGACTGTCATTCAACTTTGTTTAAGCACATTTGAATTGACTTTTTCATTTCATCGCAGTGGGAAGAATCCTTGTAGATGGATGGGAAGAGTGAATGAATGAAGGTCAGTTTGAATTAGAAGCCCTAAGTAAATGAACCCTGAATATGAGATTTATCTGAGTTGACTCATATCTTTCCGGGGCACACAAGTGAGTTACCTCATGGTGTTCTTGGTGGGTATTTGGAAGTAGATCCCATGTGACAGGGAGAGAAATTGACTTTCAGAGAGAGGAAGTGATTTGTCTCACTAGATAATATGAGTTGATGACAGACTGCTTCCCAACATGGATTTTTTTGTTTTTTGGCCTCTGTTATAAGCCTCAGCTGCCCTAATCAGCTAATAACAGAGCTGCCTGAAGTGATAAGCACATTTCTGATATTATTTAAACAATCTGTAAAATGTCCAATTTAGAATAAATATAAATGGAAATTGGAACAAGCGGTACACAATTTTCTACTGCTCAACAGCTGATATTGCTTATCAATGATTAAAATTCCTATTAGATTATGGTCTAATTTTTATACCTAATATTTTTAGTAATGCGAGTTTCACGTCTGGGCCCATGTGAGCACCTAACACATTGGCTTCAAAGCCCTTCACGCTGGATTCACGTTAGACCTTTTAATTTCCACGTACCCCATGAAACTGCATTACTGATTAAGAAAGAGCTTTGTGATTTATTTCAACTTTTTATCAGGTTAAAGGGTTGTAGTTGTACAAATTAAAAACTGTGTCGGGCAAGTAATTCTTGCTGCTGTAAAAAAGAATCTCAGTATTTCAGTGGCTTTCCATGTTCAAAGTTTTG